GTGTGTGTGTGTGTGTGTGTGTGTGTGTGTGTGTGTGTGTTCCATGAAAACTGTAGAGAGCATGAGTTCAAATCTGAGAAATACAGAAGTCGACGTAAAAGAAAAATTGTCTCCTGATTATTTTTGTACTTTCAAACACTTTTGCCACTTTGGTTACCTTATACTGAAACTTTTTCACTACGAAATAAATTTACTAGCCAAGGTCCCTTTGTAATTACTTTAGCCTGGCAGCTCTATATAATACGAGCAATTTTAATGCAGATCAGGCTTGAACATAAAGAGGAGTTATCGAAAGTAGGTTTCACACTTTTTGTGATTAAAAAAAGGACTCAAAAAATTCTGCACTATGGGAATACAAAATGTTTCTATGTTCAATGTATGCTTACAACTAGAGGACTAAATGTGTTGAACTTTTTTCTAGTGACACCTGCCAGTGAGCAGGTTGACTTTACAGAGTCTATTACTGTGGTGACTGAGTTTAAATCAGACTAAAAACTCTTGAATTTCACTAAACTCAGTCAGCTTATTCAAAATTTTCACATAAAATGTTTTGCATTTCTGTGTTTCTGTAATGTCTGTCTGGTCTGACACTGGAACCGTTTTAGTGTAAAAACAGCCAAAGAGGGAGAGTTTGCACTGAGAGCATTTTATTTCATACATGTGCAGCTCCTGATGCTGCCAGCAGAGGGCGCTCAATACAAGCTGTTTGAAGGACACTGATGGACTTTTGAAGAGTGTTTTTTTTTTGTAATTTTAAATAACCTTTATTCTCATCAACAATAAATACAGACTTCAAGACTAACAGAACATTGATTAATCAGACAGAAAACACAAATACAATTACATTACTGGGCATCAGAAACAACACAAACAACAAAATTAATTTAAAATAAAATAAAATACAGGCAGGTAAGACAAAAAAGGTAAAAAATATACACATTAACATGTAAATGTAAAAATAAATATAGCTAACATATTGTCACACACAGAAATTATTACCCAGCAGTGCTACATGTGGATCACACAGCAGCTATCTTAATGTTGGTTTAATGGTGACGTCTGAAGAGTGATGAGCTCATTCTGGCTCAGACTCCTGCCTGATGTTAGGAGGTGTTGAAACGATTGCAGTCAAACCTGCTCTGCTCTCAGTAGCAGCTCTATGGCATGAAGAGGGAAAGTTCAACCTTTGCTGGAAACTTCTCTGTGGATTCTTTTTGGAACAGTTTCAGGTGAACCCAGAAGATACCTGCAGGGTGTTAACAAAGTGTCAAGGAAGGTCACAGATTTTTTTATTTACTTTTTCTTTGCAGAACATGTCACAGTGCTCAACCTGTTGAACCACAAAGTAGCTGGTACAAAAACTCTTAAATAACCTGCCTCGCTCAGGATTTGGATCACAGTTCATTCTTGAGGTCAGTTCTTACTCACAGAGGCACATGAGTATATTTCAGATCTTCCAAGGTGCCATTTATGGAACTCTCTGTGCATTGTTGCCCAAATCAAATTCTGGAAGTGGTCATTCAACTAGATCTGTTACAAAAGGACAACTGACATTACCAACTTTTAAAAACTGTTACGGCCAGAGGTCTTTCTTCTATGTTTATACTAAAGCATGGAATGACATTCCTCAAAACATAAAGTCCATTTCAAAACTACAGCCTGAAGTATTTGGTGAGTTTCTCACCCTCTTCCTCCTGTTTCACCTCTCCTCATAAGTTAATTGGCAGACAGCAGAGCACCCCTGAGACTGTTTTCACC